TGACTCTAAACATCTGCAGTTGCAAGGCAAAAATGCACAAATATACAAACATACACTTTCTGAGTTAGTGTTTGTATTTGAGATGCTAATCTGATCTACTTTCATAAAATTCAGTCACTGTGAGTATCAACTTGCTTTACACAGGGCTCCTATATGCAGTCCCACATCGTTTTTAAAAAGTATGGAATGTGATGTGTTTTTCTGGTCTGTGTAATGTGGATGAAGAGATATTTGTACTTGCAGGGTATTTAGGAAGAAAATATTAACACTGCAATTGAAAAATTGTTTCCTTTTTTCTCCTTCCATATTTCCTTCCCTTCTTCTTTCTTGTCTTTACCTCCTTCAGTCCTTCTTTGAGTTTTTCCACCTTTCCGTCTCTCCGTTGCAAATTATTTTCCTTCTGGTTTTTGTTCCTCGTCTCCTTTCTTCTTTTGACCCTCCTTTCTTACATCCTTTCATATGCCCTACCTTGTTTCCTTCCTTGCCCTTTCTGTCTACCTTTTATTCCTTACTTCCATGTGCTCATTCTGTCCATTTTAACTTTACCTTTTACCATTTCACCCTTGTTTCCTTGGTCTGTAAAAAAAAAATGTTGCACAACATTATTTATTTTAATTGGTGGTTAGTTTTGTAAGCCTCTTTCTTTATAAATGGGTCTTTTTTTTACTTAACCTAAGATCTTCTCACCTCTGAGGCCAATATGAGATTAAAAAGTTGCAGAAACAACCGCTGGATGCTGGGTGTGTTCAGCTCTGGCCAGACAGGATGTTCAGTCATAAACAAGTCAGTGACCTAGATTAGAAAGGTGGGGGTGAGGGGATACAAGAAATGCAAAAATAACATTGGCAATAAACAATAAGAAAAAAAACAAAAACAAGTATAATTATGCAAACTCAGTCTAAAAGTGCAGACAAACCTTTCCTTTTCCTTTTCATTAAAAAACACTATTGTCATCATGTTTTTGACCATTCATTTCTTCTCTCTTTGAGTAAATTAGTCAAATTCTAGGATCCTTATGGTCTTACTCAAGTAATGACATGCCATTTAGTTCCTGCTAATGACTGATTAATTAACGTTCTTGTACTTTTAGCCACTGGGAAAAATTAATAACCAGGGCACTGTCCATAGCTTAGAAAGCAATATCATTTTGCTAATTAAATGTTTTCCTTAGAAAACCCCTAATTAACTTTTAACTCTCAATCAGTTCAGTTTATATCAAAGGACAGTGTTGTTGAAAGCATTGTGCTGTATTCTTGTTCAGAGATTAGAGGTGGAAATTTCAATTTGTATGTTGTAAGCGGACTTAAGGTAGGACTGGGAAATTAAGTGCTATGGCATGGAAGTGCACTTTCTAATGGTAGACATGAGGGACAATGTAAACATGAGCATTGAAGTCATTTTAAATTTTATTCCATCGCTTTTCTAATCTTGCCTCTGGTCTTCAAACACCAAACAAGAATGTAAAAAGTGATGCATTTAACTTTGGGTTATGAACTCTGAGAAGCAAACATTGCAGAGATTAATCCAATTTTCTGATGAGTAAACAAGTCTTGGCTGCATGCTTCAATAGAGCTATCTTAGAGTCTTAATGAGACTCTTCACACCATTAGCACTATCTAGTTTTCAGACTCTTCTAAAAGCTATGCCTCCAAGAGAAGTCATTTATCAATCAGTTGGGATACTTGGGAATTTTACACTCAGACTTGCAAACTATAAGTAGGATACAATTACTAATATCGATGCCAATTACTTTATTGAAGTGTCCACAGGTATGAAGTGATTTGCAAATCACTTCATACTTCCAGTACAAAGAAGTATGTATCCAGTGCTTCTGTGATTATGCATTGTAACAGGAATTTCTTGTGTATCACCTAAAATATGCATCTGAAGCAGCTATTGCTCAAAGTCAATAAATCACTTTCTTTGTATTTCTTGGAATGACTTGGACACATTTTCCAACTCTAAAACACCTCAATAGCTTGTTCATATGCTGCTCTGCAGTATGAGATCTACAAAAACACAGCCTGCATTTAATCAGGCTGTGTCCAGTGGTTTAATCATAGAGGAATTTGCCCTGTATGATTTTAGGCTAAAAAGTGACATTAGTCAGACCTCTGAACAGTGTATGTGTTCAAGTGCTAGTTAGAAGTGCGAAGTGCTAGCTCATTTCCAGGGAGTTTGTGTCGTCAGCTGTGTCGTCAGTCACAGCTGGATGACGTACCATGGATATGTTGGCAGACGTTTTCATCTGGCTCGGGTAGAAATGCGTCTACTATATTGAAATGGGAGGATGTGTTGTGGCTCTAGCAGGTTCACATGTTAACTTGTATTCTCTGCCACTTTGAGAGCCTGAGAAATTATTTCAGTCCTTAGTGTGCTGCTGTTGTTGTAAATGACTCAATAAAGTTAGCTGGGTAAACTACCAAACTCTGCTTATGTCATATGCTTTTAAGTGATTCCAAATTGGAAAGATTTTATTTACACTAGCTGGTTGTTTTTGTTCAACATCACCCAACATCGTGAAGTTGTTGTTGTTCCGTTTTTTTCTTTTCTACTCTCTTTACTGTGTTAATGGAAAATGCCACCTATTTTATCATTGTCTAACAACATTGGTCACTTATTGTGTGAACAGATACCTCAGTGTCATGGTATTAGTCCTAGAAGTTGAAATTATTTCGGTAAATTTTATTTCTCTCAAGAAATATTAGGTAGGTAGGTTTCAACTTTCACTTTAAATTGTCTTTGAAATTGCAGCCCAGGTTTTGGTTGCAGAAAATCTGCGTGACATTTAAATTATGAGTCCCTTATTCAGATGTTTTACTTATTATTCTAACAAACTACAACCCTTGATAATGTAAATATTAAAAGAACATGTTTAAATATCTCTTATTTCCTTCAAGTGTTGAATCTACTGCAAATCATCACTATGAAACAAAATGCTATAATGGGCTGATACATTTTGTTTGAGATGGACAGTTAAATGGTGCCTTGACCATCCGCCATCCCGCTGCCATTTATTTCTTCTGCTCAACCTTAACAAAAAAGGTTGTAAATCTCATGAAAAATAAGCAATTCAGTCCGTACTCAGTGTTTTGAACTTATCAACATGAATTTAGGACGCACATGCGCACACAGACACCTGCATGCAAGCTAAGGAGGGAGTTATTACTGGCTGGACTGATAAAGCTGGAACTGATGATATCTGCTTAATGAACATGTTGGCTGTTAAATCCACTGACTTCAGTGCATCCTAACTGACTGCAAGGCAGCTGAAAAGCCTAAAGAACTTGGGGTAGAAGATGCTTGCTTCTCCAGAACACCGCTTGTTTTAACTAAATGATGGAAAGGATTCTTGCACTTTTTCTATCGCTCATTTGTTTGACCTACTCCCAGATTTCATCAGGCTCATTTAAAACACATTAGGCTGACAGAGCATTGTTATGGCCCCAGCGATGAGAGAGTAGTAGGTCTCTTAAATGACGAGAGGGAGCCCCTCTCACTGTCCTCCCTGTCTACAGGAAACACTGATAAGAAGCTGAAAATGCAGCTTAAAAAAGCCAAGTCCCTTACTGATATTTTTAGAGCTTGCTTCTGACTCAATATTCTCATTAACTGTAGTACCAAATCAAAATTTCAGTACAGTAAACAAGTTTTGTTGTGCATGAAGGGATACATTTATTCAAAGGAAAGATTGCAAGAATACAACATAAGAAGAGGTATAGAATTTGCACTGGAGTTGTGGAAAGGTGCTAGAATTACTAAGGGATCTTGTATTTTACTTAAATGAGTCTTGGCTCAACAGTCCAACTCTCATGGCATTTTGCACCTGATTAAACAATCATAAAACATAAATGAGTGCCTTGAATTATCAGACATCCTTCTTGAACTGCTTCTCAATCTCCTCTAGTCCATCTCATGCACACAAACCCATGAATCATCCAACTGTTTTTGTTGTTCATTTCAGAAATATGTTCATATATTGGTGGTGGGTGTGTATTTTCCTGGTGGAAGAGTTGATCTTGAATTATATTGATGGTCTGGATGTGACATTTTTTGTAAAACTGTTGTATACCAAATATATGGACAATTTTTTACCTTTCAAATTTGAATGGTCTTTTGAGCAACCTGTTTGTCTAAAAACCATCCTAAACAAAATGCAGACTATTTTTATTGCATGCATTTCTTTTTCTCTTACAATGTGGTTATAAACCAGAAGCACAAATAATTACTTGTAATTTATTCCCAAATATTCAGATTTTGTTGAACAGTGTATATCAAGTCAAAGAACCAAACTACTTTCAATTCATACAATAGTATCTGTGACATTATGTGCTATCCTCCTTGTTCAGCAGAGCTTCTGAACAAGGTGCTTAGAGTAGACAAACCAAGATGCAGCACAACTTTGAGTTGTGCTGCATCTTGGCAGACGGTCAGCTTACTGTTCTCCTGGGCACTGGTTTTAATAAGGCTCGAAATGCCTTCCACTATTCTTAGAGCATATATGGCTCCTTCTATTAATAGCCATTGTGATTTTGACCAGACAGCCCTCACATAAACTTCCCCATAGCCACAAGCCTGCTTTCTCAGTGGACTGCTTTGAAAAACCGTTGCTTCTTTTGTGATCTCTAGGCGGGGGGCAGGGGTGCAGTGTTATTGCCAGGCTGTACATCAGCAATAAATAAATGTGTTTCTAGGCCACTACATGCATAGCGTGTGCATCCTTCTGGACAATGCATGTAGTTAGAAGTGCGAAGTGCTAGCTCATTTCCAGGGAGTTTGTGTCGTCAGCCACCAGTGTGAAGCAAAACTGGTGCTAAACTTCCTCTTTGCTCTTACTTAGAATTGGTGAATTTCTTGCAGTAGCAGCAGATACACATGACTCTGGTCACTTTTCCATTGCATAAAGAGCTGATTAACATATTCATGGTGCATCTGTTGTTTTGAATTGCTCATGCTATTTACCTAAGAATGTAAACATTTCACTACATGTCCCTTTGCAGGTGTTTTGCAGGTGAACGGAATGCGTGTTTACACATCTGGGGACGTTGAGGCGGTCAATGGAACAGATGTTCGTCTCAAATGCACGTTTGACAGTTCAGCTAAGATCAACCCTGATCTTGTCATCATCTCCTGGACTTTCAAACCCCTTTCAGGAGGCCCAATCATTAGGGTGAGTTTGTGTCTGAGCAGAAAAAAAAGAGAACAAATCTCTCACCTCCATTGCTGTGTCAGAGTGCAGCCACCCCCTCATCTAACCAAAGGAAGAGGTGGTGAGTCATGAGGTTCCCAGGGGAGCATCTAAGACAGCCTGTCATTATATACCTTTGTGTCTGCATATTGAGATTTGATAGAATAAGAAGCAGCACATCCTAATAAGTCTGCACTTGTTGTAATTTTCTGTACAATATAATAAAGCTTACCCCACAATGGTAAGTTATTTTCTTTTTTGTTTGTTTGTTTTTTTTTTTAACTATTTTTCCATTTGTAGATTTTTCATTACCAGCAAAAACCATATCCGCCTCCTGATGGCATCTTTAAGAAGCGTGTCTCTTGGGCTGGTGATATCATGGGGAATGATGCCTCCATCATACTGCGGGAGGTCAAGTTCATCTATAATGGCACCTACACCTGCCAGGTGACAAATCCTCCTGATGTTCATGGCCCAGTTGGGGAGATTCATCTTCGTGTTGTCAAAACAGGTGAGCAGCAGAAATTTTTACCAAAAAAATGCACTCTAGGCATAAAGCTGTTGGTGAGTAAACAGCAAAAAAAATAATTTCACTTAAAAATACATGAAGCAATATGTGCGACTGGCCACTGCAAAACTGGGAACTTACAAAGACAATCTGCTGTATGACTCGAATTATTATAAAATTATTTAGCTCAGACTTAGGACTAAAATAATTACATCAGCCTTGTCTCACAGGCTTTTAAGGGAGAGCAAGGTTTTATCCCATTGTTTTTTTTTAAACTGCTATTCATGGCTCATCCGGTGCTAATTTTCTGCTTGACTTTAATGTTAACAAATACAGCATCTATTTTTCTGCACCTGCTCACCATGTCTTTTTCATTCATGTGTTTTCTTGTCACAGCTTCTTTCAATGAACTTCTCTTCCTGGTCCTGGCCATTGGAGGTGGCATCGCCGCTGTGGTCTTTTGCCTCATAGTCATCGTGTCCTGTAGGAGATGCAAGAGGAAACACAGACAGAGGCAGCTGGAGGGTGATGAAGAGGTTCCCCGCAAAGAGAGGAAAGACCCCACTGCGTGGTAAGACCAATGAAGTGTAGCAGATGAAGAGGGGGACTAAGAGGAGCAGAAGATTCACACGCTTTCTCTCTTCCTCTGTGAGAGACTCTGGGGATCAGGGCATGGTATGCTCCCTCTTGGGCTCTTTCCCTGCTTGATGCTTCTCTTTCTTCCTCCATATGGGACTTCTGCCTTTGGATCCTACATTTGTACTGGTAAAAGGCAGCTGTTGTAAGACAGAAAGTGAGGAAGAATGTGCCTTTATATAGAAAGTTCTAGATGCTGAACCTTAGCCATATTGCTGCTTAGCCTGTGTGGAATTACTATGCGCCTTTCATTTCACGAGAGAAACAACTGTTTTATCGATTCATCTTTTCCTGTTTAGCTAAATGGACCTCCAGCCACATTTCCTGTTTGGAGTAAATGTTTTGATGATGAAGATGTAGAACAATGGTGTATTCTTGCTGTTTACTTCCCTACTAATACAATCCAAGCTCCCTTGTACAAATGCAGTACATGACACGTGTTAGATATATTATTTCAAGAAACAATAGAAAAATTGAGCACTTTCCAAGCTTCCAGTGAAAATGTATTTGATCACTTTATAAAAACCCTGCACAAAGCTCTGATAACTTTCAGTGGAGGTATGTGGCGACTGTCTGATTTAACTTCTGGGGTTTGCTTATAGTGGATGTTAAAAGTCTGCACACCCCTGTTAAAATGCCAAATAAATAAAAAAATATGATCAATCAACATTTTCTATGCAGTTATATGTACATAAGCTAGCAATCAAGCCACTTTCTTTATTCAATTCCAGCATTTAGTCTTCTCAGAGAGACACTGTACAAAGACTATGAAGACATAAGGGTGAAAACACTAACAGAATTGTTTTGTTTTTTCTTTGCATGGGATGGAACAGTAAGGCCACCTGTAAATAAATGGAGAAAAATGGCACACCCGTGACAGAAAATAAAATTGATCTGAAGGGTTTCCAAGACCTTCACATTGAAACTGAGCTGGTTAGAGAATCGTCTGTCTTGTACTTTTGTGTGTTATACGTTATAACATCTTGTATTCTTTATGGACAAAGTGTAAAAAACTGAGAAATAGAGCAGTGATAGCACCAAGACCTGGGGTTTATTTTTGGGAGACGGCACTAAATTAAACATCTTAAAAAAATCTCCAGGTGTCTGAAGGATTTTTTTTTCAGTGAACCTGAGAGTTTAAGATGAAGTGTGTTTTATATCACACATTAAAGACAGCAAAACAGCTTAATGAGAGAAAATATGTTTTATGGCTTTGCTGTAGTTTGGACATAAAAATCTGAGGAGGTTCCGTAGAGGGTTGTGGACTACCGTTGAATCTTATACATTTGAAGAGCTTTTCCAATGCAGAATGGAAAGAAATTTCCAAGTTAAGATGGTGGATGCTCACTTACTCCTACCACAGAAAACTGAATGCTGAAATTGAAAAGTCAAATGTTTTGAAATTGTTGGAACGGTTTATGATTTCAACTTTTATGTACATACACACTAAAACCAGGAATTATAACAGGGGTGTTAACAGTTATAAAGCCACTGACCATTTCTATTGGAAATCACTACTGAAGTCATGTTACTGTGTTTTTTTGTTTGCTACTGTGTTCTTATTTTTGTGATATGATAAGTGTCTTTCAATAGTTATACCTGATTGTAAGCACTTGTTGGAAACAGACTATTTTTAAATCTTAAAATATTGTACAAATTTACAGATAATTGCAGCTAATTTTTCTATTGACTGATTTTGTTTTTCTTTTTTTTTTTACATTGTCATTTTTATGTAGCATTTCTAATAGCTGGTTGTCTGTTTCTTGGGGACCTAAGGTTTTTCTTCCAATTTGCTGGGTTTTCAGATCTTTCTGTAAGGGTTGCTTTAATTCTCACCACCACTAGTGGAAATCACTTTTTTTTTTGGTAATATTGTTAGTGATCATATTTATTGAAGCTTCAATAAATAAGCTTCAATAAATAGCTTCAAAATACATCATTCATTCAACAACTTTGAGAAGGAAGGACAAAAACAAATGCAGATGAGTGAACAGATTTTATCCAAACGTTTCTCAGCCCGACCCATGTCGATGCTAATCGATTGTATCCTGCTTCTGTGTTTGTATTTATTGGTCTTGGTGTTTTCCTACTTTATCCCAGCCACCCATCAAAGGCCATCCATCTCTACCTGTCAGAGACATCTATAGAGATTGATAGTTCAGATGGCATGATCTCAGACCCCAGCACTGGAGACCCAAGCTCCTCAGAGGATGATGATGATGATGATGATGATGATGATGATGTTGGTGATGACTCTGACTGAGAAGGACCAAACACAGATTGGAATGCTGATGAGATCCCGTCAGGAAACTTGCTGGAAGGAGGCTCTAAGGGTACATTTGGATTTCACTCTTCTGCTCGGCAGAGACTTGCTGAAAGCAAAGTGAGAAGATGAAGATTTGAGGAAAAATGGAGAATATAAATCTTTTGGAGGAAAAAACAAACAACAAAAATAAACAAGATTTCTGTAGAGAAACAGTCCTAAAGAAAACAGCCTTTCTGTTTGGAGGCTCCATAAATGTTTGAGGAAATGAAACAGTGGATCAAACTCAAACAAAACCCTAAAGCTTATGTGCCAAACTGGATTGTGGACTTAAAGCTGGCCTAGTAACGTAGAGGGTATGTTTAGCTTTTGTTGGAGCTTTCTGCTGGTTTACACAGAAATCCTCTTAGCAGAACAAGTGTTTGCTGTAATTCTGAGCCACACAAAGTGCATTATATTTCGTGAGTTGTCCAAAGACTGTTTGTAAATTGGAAATATCTCCAGTCATTTGTAGAGATGTGCACATAAGTCATATGATTGACTTCAAGCTTGATGTGTGCTGACTGATGACTATACCCAAACACTAACAAGTCCAGGTTACAACGCTCTTTCATGTTGATGCTGTTATTGGTGAAGTAGGCTGGGTTGGCTATTTTCAGTATGTGACGTGTTTAAAAATGAAGTCAGAACATGGAGATGTAAGAACCTACCTAAAAGGAAACCTGTCAACACTTGTGTGGAGTTTTTTGAGGCTACAACAGAGTGAGATGGAACAATACTTTCAGAAGGTAACAGGAAGGCTGAATGTAAAAGACCAACATTGCACTCTTGAATCCTTTGGAACGCTTTTCAACCTCTGTCTGTCATGAGAAATGATGGATTAAGAAATCTTGGCAGCCTTTTGAAAATCTCAAAGATTTGGTAAAGATCTGCTTTCTCCAGTGAGTGCATGTGGAGAAAGCAGATCTTTACCATATCTGATTTAGTGCTAGACAAGGTAACTGTGTTGATCTCTAATAAAAGATCAGAAAGTCGGTTTAAAATGTGATTGACTATTTTGTGCTTGTTTAAAAATATTTGTAAAAACAAACTGAACTTCCACATATTCAACTGGATTAATTAGTCTATCTTAGAAACTGGTTGTCCCTGCACCTGTTGTCCCTCATGTATTTTGGGAGAAGGATGGTGAAAAATACTGCTGTCGTTCTTCCGCCACACCTGTCCTGTTTGCATTAGAATTAGTTGGTGTCCAATCCCTTTAATAGGCATCTTCAGTCTTGTCAGAAAAAGCTTAATTTTAGTTTTTTCCCCTAAATTATGTCCGTATGACAGACCATGCCATACTGTTTTGCTAAAAATTAACACGTTTTCGAGAAGTTTTTTTTTTTATTAGTAAATTTAAAGTCCTAAAGCTTTAACTAGAGAATTGCATCCAAGCAAGTTGAATGAGAAACAGAATACTTTACTTTAAGACTTAAGTAATACTATTTGTCACATCAAATTTCTCATATTAAATGGTAAAAATTTGATTTATTTTTTCTTCCGTCTAAAAGCCAAAGATTTGATCTGTGGGAAGCAACCACATGTACACAACGGCCCTGAAACGCATGTGGGAGTGCACAGTAAGATCTGTAAACCCTTTTTGATTGCAAAATGTCCTTGAAGGCCTGTGCTCTATTCTTTCATTTGTGAATGCATTCCAACTAACAAGTGTTAATATGCCCGTATTTCAGATTTTTTGTGGCAGATTTTGTATTCGTGTTCAAAGTGTTTTAGATGTATAAGAAACTGTTACATTTGTATTTGTAATAGAACTTTTATAAAGAAAAAGTTTTCTAATAAAAAGCCTTTAAATCTTTTCTACATTGACTTATTTTAATTCCAACAGAGTCTGCAACTGAGTGTCTCATAAAAGAATTGTCCCGTGAAACAATTTGAAAGTGCTCATTCATTATGTAACAAAATAATACCACTCAACCACATGCTTTGTAGATTTAATGCACTCTATCCATTTGTGTAATCATGACTCGTCTGTCTGCAGAGCTCTTCACATGCTTACCTGTAAGCACGACAGCAGTGAATATCTTTTAACTTATTGTGCATTCACTATGCGAACTCTCTCTGCTGTTATTCCTGTCTGGGCTTCATTGTTGAATGCTTGACTGTTCATGACTGTGAATATGTGGTTCCGTTTATTAGCTCATGTGTTTGAGTCTATTTGTGCGTATTGATCAAAGTCTGCCCCTGTGGGCGCAGCTTTAGTTACTCAATGACAGACCTTGAATGTGGGCAGAATTATACAGACAGAAAAAGGCTTCAGTCACGCTCGAGAAAAAGCCAGTGTGTGTGGGCAAATGCGTGTTTATTTAAGCTAAGAAAAACATTTCCCTGTGCTAAATTGATGAAACATTAAACCCGCTGGATAATGTAGTTGTATGACAAAAGCATCAGCTGGTATCTCTTTAAACACTTTGGAAAATAACTCCGCAATCATTGCTGTTTGTGGGATTGAACACACTATTCCAGTTAAACAGTTTGACTTTTTTTCTATACTACAATAGAAACAGTCAGAGCTTGTGTGTTATGAAACATTGATTCTTTTTCATCCTGCTACACATTAATTTGAAACGCAGCAAAAAGTGTTTCTTTTGCAGGGAAAGCATTTGGCCCAACTGAGTCTCTCAGTAAAAGGTAAATGAGCTCCAGAACAAATATCCTTCTACAAAATAAAACATTTTCTTTTACATGATACCCAGCATCACTGCTTAAACAAACGTGTTACTAATTTCAGCATGTTTCATGTTTTTTCCATCAACAGATGTGGAAAACCAAGCATATATTATGATTGTCTAAAAGGGATGCTATGCTTTTGATATGGAATATGGGAGGAGGGTGAGAATTGGGGTCACTTTCTCTGTGCTTGAGTTATAATTTGAGTCTATTCAGAAATTTCTATCACTAAAACTGACATGAAAGCTGCTTTGCAGGTCTAAACAAGTCTGTCATTCAGAAAGCTGGTTAGAGTTGCAGAGTTTACTTCACAGTCATTTCTCAGAGTAGAAACATCCAGCTTTTCCTTCTTATTTTTCAAACCAAACTTGACACCATTCTGTGTTTATTACATAGGAGAAACTTGTGGTCTCAACTTGACTGCAATGATTTGCTCTTAGCACAAAAATGTAGTCCATATATCAATGAAGACAGAAATAAACTGATACTCTACAATTTAAAACAATTGGTTAAAGGAAATATGTTTCTGGAAAGAAATTACATAATGTTTGCACTTTTTCAAAATTTTCTGCCTTTTCCAATGTCTGATTTTGCTGCAAGGAAGACAAAAACCCTGCCAAAAATAGTTGCTACAAAAGCAGAACTCTGTGGACTATTGGCATGTTGATCTTATTAGGTTCTGTTACACTATTATTGGTAACGGTTCCCTTATATCTAGGGAGACATTATTACTGTGAGTTTGTAAAAATAAAAAAATCCTCTTAAGTGGTGGAATGCTAACAGGGGCTCCTTGCTGAACCTCCATCCATAAAGCACTGAATGCATAAGGCTAGTGTAACTCTTTACTAAAACAAAACTTTACATCGAAAGCTACTCTGGCTCCAGGAAGAGGAGGAGGTTCATGGAGAAAACTCTGTGATGTCATGATCCTTAAAACACCATGACTAGAACGAAGACGTTCTCTTTCTGTGGTGCTGATATATTGGAGAGGACAAAGTGTGTCTCATGAATCCTTAGTTTGCGAGTGGAGGAAGGTCCAAGGAGCAAAAGATCTAAAGTTACATGTCACTGAATTGTACATCAAATAGTTATGCTTCCTTGCCAAAGACATAAACTTTGACTTTGGTTTTATTCAGAACTCTGAAGAAGAAACTTTATAATTACAGGGCAAGCCAACAGCATCAACAGCTGCTGCTGATGTTGTAAAAATCAGCTCCCCAGATTTCCAAGCTGACTTGCATGAGCTGTGCATAGCTGCTGCTAACAGATATGTTTGTTTCTAGGACTTAAGCTGAGAAGGAGATTTTTCGTGCAGCTCATCAGCCTGTAGAAAACAAACCTCTGACCAAGCTAATTTGGACTAACCCACAAGACTGAAATCTGTTTGCTTGACCATGAAGGCTATGGAGCCTATGGTACAAACAACGTTTTTTATCGACTGATAGTCATTTTATTCAAGCCATGTGTGTTCATTCCTTACTACTGGAGTTTTCTTTCGGGCTAAACTACAAGTAACTCTAGATGCCAAATAAACTTTAGAGATCCAGCATCCCCAACCATATCTTTTTCTGCTTGCGCAGTCTGTCATAAACAACAAAATTGTTATTCATGGTGCTTTTGGACTAATTTTTTTAAACGGCAAAAGATTAGATGATTTCAGTTTATCTAAGAATGCATTTTGTGAGTGGCAGCACTCTTTCAGTCTGACATTTTATTCTAAATGATTAAATTATCTATCTATGTCAGGGGTGTCAAACTCCAGTCCTTGAGGGCCACTGTCCTGCAGTTTTTTGATGTGCCACAGGTACAAAAAACGCAGGAATGAAATGGCTTAATTACCGCCTCCTTGTGTAGATCAGTTCTCCAGAGCCTTGCTAATGACCTAATTATTCTATTCAGGTGTGGTGCAGCAGAGGCACATCTAAAAGTTGCAGGACACTGGCCCTCGAGGACTGGATGTTGACATCCCTGTTCTATGACACCCCTGTTCTATTGTAACATTTCGGAGAACAATCACTTCTCCGAAATGTTAACATTTCGGAGAAGTGTAAGAGTTTTTGCAGCACTAGTGGCTCATGTTTTTTACAGTAGACATACAGGAAAGAGGGTGAGGAGAAGGGGGAAGAAATGCTGCAAAGGTCGCCAGGAGCAGGAGTTGAACCCGCGACGTCCGCGTCGAGAACTGAGGCCTCCAAACGCGGGACGTGCTAACCCCACGTTTGGAGCCACTACAGAACGCCACTGCGCCACTACAGAACGCCCTGTGTAACAGATTTCTAATTCAGTCAAAAATTAAAGGACATTACTTCCTCAAGTAATGTCTTTTGCTTTGTAAAATCATTATTTGGAGCACACCAATTTTGGCAATTTGTAAAAGCTAATAGACAAAATTGTGATGATGCACTTTCAGTAAGGAATTGTCAAACACAATTTTGATTATTATTATTCTCTTTTGTATAACTATGAAATTTTAACATAAGTTATACCTTCACAGAATCACACAACATAAAAGTTGCAAGTTTTGATGTGCTTACCATCTTTTAAAATCTTTTTAGAATCTCTTGTGTGGTGTTTTGACAAGTCTGGCAATTTAACGTGACTAGCAACACATTTGTTTCTAAAAAGGAACACACTGTTACTGTTTGAGGTCAAACTGCACAATTGAACAATGGAGGAATTGAGTTTGCCTTGTGTGTGCGATACCTTTGGCATACATTTGGTATATTCTCCATGTAATCCAGTTCAAAAAGTGAGAGAAGACTACAAAATGCAATGAGTTGCTGATGAGCTCCTGTCCTTGGCAGGCCTCATCTAAGAAGGTTCTCCACTATTTCCTGTTTTCTCCATTTTGTAGATAATGGCTCTGTGATTCAGTGAAGTCCCAAATCTTTATTAATGACACTGTAACTTTTTCTGTACTGATCACTGCCAATGGCTTTGGTTTTCATCTGTTCTTGATTTAATTTCTTTTTTTCATTTTTTTAGTTGATATGCTTTTTGAGATTTTTTTTTTTTACCATACTTTCTGTTGTCAGGTCCTTTTTCTAGATGTCAACATGATTCATTATGTCTGCCCTGGACTCAAGATAGAGACTGAGGAAAGATTGAAATCAGCTTCCAAAAAAAATTATTTTCAGTTAATTCAAGATTTGACATGAGGGTGAGCAATTTATTTTTCAGGTTAGTTTGGTAACTCTTTTCATAAATTAGTGTTATTATTATCTGAAAACTCGATTTTGTATTTATATCATTTGTTTTTGTCTGCTTCCAAAATTTCCTTAAACATCTGAAATAAAAAAAAGAGCAAACTGCAACTTTTTCATCGCACTGTGAATACACAGATTTATTTTTGTGACTCCAGTGAAGCTTGTTGTTGAAGTCTGTAGCAGAAACATGTTGAAACTCCTGGGAGACATGTTTTTGAAATACTTTTGCTTTGTGACTCAACATTTTCCAATGTGATGTATTTGCTATGGCAACCATGATTAAACATTTCCTAAAAAGAGCCAACCTAATGTCAGATCAATATGATAAGGGAAGTAATCAGTCTGTTTAGAATGTAAATCTGTACTTAATAGTTACCCATCATTTTTCTTTGCTCTCCTCACCTTGCATTGGGTTGTGCCTGGCACAGCAAACTTGTATTACATTCCTTTGCTCATGCCTAGCCACACATAACACACGAAAATGGGCTTGGCAGGACATGTTTCACAGAGAAATTATAGCTGCCTCACTGGTGTGTAAAATATGGCTCAATGTTAGACTGAGATTTCTATTCAGGGCTGCACCTTAACATGCAAAGACAAATGTTCAGGTAACGTTTGGCATTCATTTAAAGGTGGAGAGACGGCTTAACTCGCAGGCCATTGAGCAGCTAAGAATCTCTAAACTCTTGTGCAATCCAGTCTCACTTGTTTGAGTTCCTTCCTGAGAAGTTAATATTTGTGTATGTGAAACCTTGAATAAAAGACATGAACAGGACAATATGTCATCACTGTTTCAGTGCATTTAAAGCAATCAAAAGACAGAAAAGTTTCTACATTTTAGGAGGGGCAGACAATGGTTGCATCTACCTTTTGGTGCCCAGAACTTTAAATCACTTTCATTAGTCTTCCTCCATGCTAAAGGAAAAAAAAAAAGTTTCTTGTTCAGAGACGCCAGAAAGTAAGCGAGCAGGGCAGAGCCCTGATTGTCAATGAGGGGACTGCTGCTGTAACTGAGAACCTGTGACTGTAGCCAAACAGAGAACCCTTTTATTCGTACAGACAATGTGTCACACGATATAATGCCGTGTTTGCATACCCAGGTAAGAGGCACCAGTCTGCAAAACAGATTGCGAAATATATGGTGAGTTAAATACTCACCATATATTGTGGTTAAAAATCAACAACATAGCTGCATTTGTTGGGTGTTGATTTGGTCATAATCCTGATTTACAGTTAATGATGAAAAAAGCAACAGTTTAGCATCCATTATCACATCTATTTTATACAGCATTGTAATGCAGCAAGGTGTTTAATTTAGACAAAAGAGGTAACAACATGAGAAGCACACTTTTGTGAGTACATGCTGTCATTAAGTAAAAAAAGGAATGTTAAAATTCACTGCTCCTTTACTGGGAAGTGTGATCCCTTGCTCACTGGAATTCATTTTCTTACCTCTTACTCCTTTATATTTTTTTAAAACAAAAGGACCAAAACCCTACTGTGTCACTCCCTTGGTATTTTCCCAAGGGAGTGGAAAAAATACCAGGGCTGTCCTACATGAGCTCTTAGGGGCCATTGTCCAGCATATTGAGGTGTATTCCTGATTTAACAACCCTGGATTTGTAAATGGTTCATTGTAAAGCCTCTGCACAACTTGAGGACAAACTGAAAAAGTAATTAAGAGAATTAATTCAGTTCATGTGGAGCAGGGACACATCTGGTCACCACGGCTTGAGGCAGCTGGAGAAAGGAGACAACTGATTACTAAACTTTGGATTCAAACATCTAATTTGCACAACCATCCAAGTAATGAACGAGTGAATGTAACCTTTACCTCCCAGCGTTGCTAACGGGGTTATAGAAGTTTGATGACTGGTCCACATGTATTTTTTTTTGGATCCAGAAGTGGAGTTTACAGCTGATCTTTTTGACACAAATTGTGTGGTTTTACCCTTACATATCATAACACAACTACTGAGGTCACACACACACGCACACACACACTTGTATGTTTAATTTCAGGTGTTTACAGAGACATACAGGGCTGTGGTGGCCACCAAATACATTTGCATTAATTAGTACTGTGTACTTTTCAGTAATGTTTCGTGTTATTTGTTTATTAGTCACTTTATGCAGGAGAAGAAGTAGATATTTTTCTTTTATCCTTTCTTTGTAGTGTTTTTACTTCCTTCATTCCTTTCACCCTTGTATCCTACCTCTCCCCCTTTTGTTCCTGTCTATGTGTTCATTATATTTGAAATAAACCCAAAGCAATTTATAATAAAGCTTGTATATATATGTAGTCTGGACAATGTCCGTGTAATGTAGCCCAGACCTCATATGTCATGGAGGTTTTATGGACACATCCAACTGGAAGGATAATCTATGCTAGACCCAAACTTCATTGAAGGGACGGTGCTCGTTTTCCTGACCTCAGGATGCCCTAAAATGAGATGAAGTGTGTCCTTCTAAGGGGAGTGTTGGTTTCTCTGCTGGTTATTTTAGTACTTCAATAAAAAAACTGTGAGTCAATTAGTAAATTAATTCAGGCGTGTCAAGTTCAAGTTTTCAGTGAAGTTCTGAATGTTTTATCTCTTTCTCCCTTTGTATCTACATGATTTGAATAAGAAATCTGCAGCATCTAGTAGAACTTCAGACAAGATGAGGAATAAATCAAATGCTTAAATCAGGTATACAGAAGCAGTTCCACTGAAACATGCAAGGTATCAGCATACCAGGACTGGAAATGCTTGCTTCGGGAATAATGTATTGTGCAATTTTTTTCCCTTCCTGGTTGTTTGCCATATAATATATTGCACAGCATTAGTTTCCTGTGTAGGCTGACAAATATTAGAATTAATTATAAGTCCATAAAAGGGCAGAGCATGTCAAAATGATGCTACCCTTGCAAATTCTTTGATGTGCCATGAAATTATTCCTTTTTCAGATTCGAGGAAATGCTTGATGACCACATGATGGATGTAAGAAGGAAATTGACTACGGAGACCGAGTAAACCCAGATATAGATATACTTCAAAGGATTTTTGAAGAAACACATGCAGTAGTTGAAAGATAAAGAACTACACCCCTTGAGAAAGTAAACTAATAAAGGCTGGGAACCTTCTCCCTTTAGAAATAATTACATCAGTAGGTCCAGGAGATTGGGATCAGGGAAAGAAGAGGAGTTTCTCCCAACAGATCATCTGCATTTTTTTATGTATAGAGGCTGGGTAGGGAGATGAGGACTGCAAACAGGGGTTCATATGAGGGCACATTCATGGTTATAGAGCCTGTATTAAAGAAAGTTTGGGTTCAATTTAAAACCAAATGTGTTTGTTTCTAATAGTGTTGTAATATAATTAATTTTGGATTCATCCAACTATCATAAATCACCATAGCTTAAGTAATATTCCCTATGTATCATCCATATATGATGATGAGTCTTTTATGCAGAACAGATCCACTGTAAGTATCATGAAAGCTTAGAGCTGCGAAGTCACATCATATAATCTGTGTCAATAATTAACACTACAGCTAATTGTAGCTTGCTTGAATGACACTTCATCTGATTATTTGATTATTGGTAACATGTGGAATAAAGTTTTGAAACCAATACGTTTTTTGATATTGAATAAATGCTATGGATACTAGAGCCCCTGAGTTAATACTGCATGTGGGTCACCATCATATTCTATCAAAAAGTTAATAAAGATTATTTAATTTGTTAGTTTATGATCATATTTTAAATGAATTTCAAATAATTTATCATTACCTGTGATCTACCTTTGCCGCTCAGTATTGTTGTTCTAGCATCAAATTTTTCAGACTTTAAAATTTCATTTGCCAAATGAAACTGTGGCAAATGGAATGCTCTTGGACGCCCCCTGCTGGTTTGAGGACGGAAATAAGCAGCTGCTTAGTTCGCTTCTGATTTAGACCAGCTCTGTTTTGAACGCTTTTTGGATACTTAGTGTCGCAAGAGTCTAAATCAATTCAAAAAACCAAATATGAATACATATGTGAAATAGAGACGCCTGCATTTTCCAATAGCAACACATTGTTACTGAAACCCAAATTATTTGCACTATTTATTTACTTTGTGCTATTTCTTTCGATTAACATAGCGCAGCTATCTAATTTAAAATGTATTTAACCAAACTAACTCCTGGTTACAGTTTTTAATCTATATTCAAGAAAAAAAGAAAAAAGAAGAAAAAAAAAACAATAAATAAAAAACCCACCAAACAAACAAACAAACAAAAAACAACAACAACAATAACAAAAAAAAAAAAAACCATGTGTTGGACTTTGTATCTTATGGAGGAATTTGACTTTTTTCCCCTTCGGAGTAAGTTTCGAGCTGCCTGTCTCCTTTTTTCAACATTTACCAGAGTTGGCTGATTCAAGCGCTGTCTTCTTACGCACGGAGAGCACTTCCTGCTCCAAACCTGTCCGACAGGTACGCCGACTTACTCAAGACGAAACATACTATGGACGGAAATTTACCGAAGTTTTGACGCAATTTAGAGGATTTTTTCTATCTTCACCGGAGTGGGTCCACCTTCAGATCCAATTATGTGTCGAGTGGACTCAAGAAGGACAGCTATAAATGTAGTGGTGCTGCTGTATTTGTTTGGCGTTTTCGGTAAGTAGGGCCTGGGATCCGGGTGTTGTGTCGCAGTGAATATTTCAGCATTTAGCGTCAGCTGAAGAGCACGCGGTTAAATACTCAGATCTTTGCTCTTAAAAGCTGCTTATTTAGTTATTGGTTATTTTGAGAAATTATTTTTCTTGGCGAGTCAGACTTATATTAACAGTGCAGGCACAAGTTTGTTTTTGATGGTATTTTGATAAATTTTAGAAGATAAGAAAACGCATTAAATACATTTTAGACGCTAAAATTAAAACCCTATGTTGAAAGGTCAATACATAAAATAAGAGTAAATAGAATACTGTTTAATTTAACTGACAGGATCTTTAGCATTTGGGTGGGAGAGTATTGCATAATAACAATAGGCCTACGGTGGTAAATTCAGGAGGAGCCCGGGGCAAGGGGCCAGGGGCCAGGCTTCGGCGCTGGGACTCCGTGTGTGGATTCGGGAAGTGTCTAAAATACACTAAAACATCCTTCCAACAAAAGCCCTCTTTAAATAACGTATATAGGACATAAACAGTCATTAGCACTGACAAGATAAGTACTTGCGTCATTAGCACTGACAAGATAAGTACTTGCGTCATGCTGTGTGGTTTCAATAATATTCACATTGCCAGGGCATCCATTATGAATGCTGCCTATGAGCACTAACTATTGCGTCTTTTTGCATACATCTCAGGTAGTTTTATTGTTGCCTTGATTATTTAAAGTTTAATTAACCAGTGGCCTTTTCAAATGTTGTCATATTAAGCTTATATTTGAAGTATTTGAGATTTTTGAAGAAAAATGTACTGTTTTCTTTCTCATTAAATTTGTGGTTTGTATTTGTTCTCAGTCTGCCTGAGTTAATATGGAACTTTTTGCAAATAAATCAATATAATTCACCCCAGGCTCCCATTTTTCCTTTGCAGACTGAGAATAAATAACACACAAGTGTATTTTACTAGTTTAGATTATTCATATATCACCATATGAAAAGGGGGCTGGATATAAATCCACAGCACACTCTTGACATTTTTGTTTGAAAAAGAAAGCTTATGGGGCATGAATATTTTCCAAGCCACTATGGAAATATAGGTTAAATTAGTTGTAGTTTAAGCTACAGTAAGTAATGATGGTTGGCAGCACTAAGACCTTCCTCCTGGCTCTGATTGGTTGTTATTCTATTTAATCATGGTGACAGTTTTAATTATTGTGTCAAAAGACACATTATTAATCATATACTACAGCTCTAGATAGTTAACAAAAATCAACAACTGGTGCATTTATTATAATGAATTCAACCCATTGTAATAGTGATGTTTTGAGCAAAAAAAGTATTTCAAAATGTAGTTATTTAAAAATAAATATATTGCTTCTAAATAGAGATGGAGGTGTTTGTTCCATTTGTGAGGCTGAACCAGAACCACTTATTATTCTGCATAATTGTACTTGCTAGCTTTTGTTTTGTTATCACAGCATTTAGAAACTTTGTGTCAGTGCAAAGACCACAGGGGACCTGCCAAGATTTCTATGATACCTTTAATTACCACATTAGCAGCATCCATCATGTCACTGAGATTTAGAGTGTTTCCTCTTTCAAGAGTCCTCTGCTTCATTTCCTTTTTATAAGAACATAGTTCTGCTTTTGTTGTTATCTCTGTATTTACTTCATGTCCTCAATAAACTGATGGGCATGAAGATACATGTTAAGACACTCATAACTCTTGAAGGTCTGATGTTCAGATGTCGAACCTGTCTGTCAATTCCAAGAAAAGCAGCTGGTGAGAAACTTGGATTAATGTGTCACTCAGTGTTATTTGTACCAGGAGAGCCTTGCTGTTCTGTCAGTTTGTGACAATCACAAAAGTGACAACATTGCAACATTTCTTGATTGATATCAGTTGTTTTATATAAAAGTGGGAAAACCACTTGCAGTGTTTTTTTTTGTTCTAGTTCTTCATTTCAGTTTCTGTTAAACTCATGAAGACGTGAATCAGCCCGTATCATATTTCCAATTGCTTACTTGACTTCATCTCTTCTCCAGGCCTTTCCCACGTTTCCTCCATTAGAGTGACCACTCCACCAGAGCTCCATGCAGCTAAAGGGGATATGGTTAAGTTGCCCTGCACTTTTACCTCTATAGCAAACCCAACAAGTAAAATGCGTGTCAGCTGGTCCTATACACCACAGACTGGAGGTTCATCACTGGTGGTGAGTATTTGAGAACCTACTTATACAATTCCTTACAATATTAAAAACCCATGTAATTTTGTTGTGTTCTCAAGCAGAATACTTAAAAACAAACTAATGGACCAAGCACAGGTTGAGAGTAGTTTTATTGACACTCTGCTTTATTAACACTTAGACACTTGGCTCAGTATTAAGGCGGTGCACGTTTAAAGAGTGAGTATTACATAAATTAAAAATCATGGAACTTTCTATGTTATGCAGAGGTCGTTGCTAGATTTTTTGTTGTCTGATGTTTTGATTGACAGGGTCAAAAAACTCCCACCATTGTCCATTTCTAAAATGACAATATTATTTAGTATTTCATTTTCTTTAAATTGATATTCAACCTGAACAAGTTGGTTCACAGATGACCTCCAAACTCTTCATGACTTTTCAATGCACTATCAACTACCAGATAGCGAGATGTCCAAGTCTAAGATTTTTCATTATTTTCTTAATTGAGTTAATTATCTCTGCTCTGAGTGTAAAGTTGAAAATATCTACATAAAAGGATGTGTAATCTAATGTGTTAAAATAACCAATGATCTTCAGATTTTTCTGTCACCATTTACAAAAAAAAGTCAGATGTGAAATGTTTGGTTAACCAAACCCCTGATTTTATGGTGTTGATAGAAGAACCCAAGTAGTAATTTAGCTGGCCTTATCAACTACTTTGAATGCTGAAACAAAAGTATCAGGGAATTACCATCAGCCTACTCAGGGTTGTCATGCTGCAGAATAACTGCATGTGAGTCAAATTATTTTGAGCCAATGTTAAATATTTCAATAGTACTTTCCTAGATTAAAGAAGCAACATGCACCAGGAAATCAATAGGTCCAAGTACTAGAAAAATATGAGAGCTCTCTCAGAACAGAATCAACACCTCATCTTGACATGTTGTTTTTGTTATTAGAAATCAACCAGCATTCTGACCTTGTCTGCTCTAAAGGAGATACAGCAGGCTGTATACTTTTGAACTGAAAAACTGATTCAAAGATGTTTTTGCACCACAAGAGTTAAAGTGTCACAGAATCTGAAGCTGGTATTTTTGTTTCTATATTAACACTACCTATCATCACTACTTTGATTTTATTGTGGAAGATGATCTTTTTTTAAATAGCTTTCTTTCTTACGCAAAAAGAACTCTTTCGAGATTGGGGAAGAGTACGTCATCACATTTAATCTCATCAAATCAGTGGCCCTCCCTGATATCCAGCTGCCGTTACTTTTGCTACTTCTTCTGGTTCCTCCTTCTGTCTGTGCCACATGAGTGTCTTTATTGCTTTGTCATGCTTAGTGTGTTTTTTTGGTCTGGCTTTCTCTTGTTTTGATACATTTGAGGTCTGTAACTTCACGATGTACTTTACAAGCTTTAACGCTTGGAGATCTTGTAAAACACTGCAGTGGACACCAGGTATTTTCAAAAGTTGTAGATTGCAAATCCTAGAATACTTGAGATCCCTTCTGAAAATGCTCATACATGTCTATTTTAAAAGTTCAAACACCAACTCTACCTTAACAAGCATTAATGTGTACGGTGGGAACCATCTTGAAATATGTTGTCAGACCAATAAGTAACTAATTTTGACTTTTCCTATTTACTGTGTCTGGAAAGCATGGTGGCCTGTTGGGAACACATAAAATAGCTCATTTGGTGCTTAAAATGATTTTCTTAGCTTGGTTTGATATTCTCCATATTTTCAGCCTTGAACAAAAAAAGTTATATTTTCACTTTTATCTTTATGAGTCATACATACCAAAAGCATACAGATCATATTTACATGTAGATTAAAATATATCAGGACCTTCTTAACATACAGGGGAGTGACTTGTTCGAATAGCAGGTTACTTTATTTGCATTCTAGTGTGATCTCATTCTTGAGCTGCGGTGGTCATAACTGAAGGCATTTTATTCTGATTTTATTTATTTTTGATTTGAACACTATTTGTACCTGCATGTTTGATTTGTTAGACCCATGCTGAGAATTTTATGTTCCTTTCCACCATTTGTGTATGTCCACAGCTTTCACAGTAATTATCAGCCGGCCCAACCTGATACCACTTCCTTTACTGTATTGTGGTCTTGTTTGAAATTAGTTCAGATGTATCCACTCTAAACCATAACTGCATTCAGTCTTATAACCCTGCAGACTTTGGGCTAACATTCACTCTCCAGTCCACAAAGAATGCACCGCATAATTTAAGCAGCTCCATTGTACTGGGAGATGGCCATCAAGTGTGGTTCTTTGTAATTGCATTTGGACTGTGAGATTCTATAATGTGGTAGCTGCAACCCTATATGCAGTAATTTCCTATAGGAGCACTCAGCATTAAATGGAAGCTAATGCTTTGTGGTTTTGCTGGTGTGGCATGCTGTAGGTTGGGTCATTTAAGACAAACTTGTCTTCCCTAAGTATTTAGGACAGACGAACCAGCAACCATTAAAAAGTTAAAGAAGGTAAATCCTCATGGATTTGTAGTGCTCATTCTAGGGAGCCTGTTTTGCTTTATTAAATCTGAATCTTGATCCGACCCACAGATGGCACAGTCGACAAGTTTTTAATTTTTATTTCTAAACCCTCAATTACTTTCCTCCCAATTTCATTAGCGTCTTTAGTTTATTGGCCCGCGGGCCCCTAGCTGTATATCTCGCTGTGAAAGGCCATGAATAAGCATGTGAAAACCTGTCAGAAAATATCAATTTGCTGCTGAAGCTTTAGTGTCAATCAGCATTGCTGCAGTGCTTCAGTGGCTTGCGTAATTACCTCTGTCTCAGAAGAGAGGCTGAATATTCAATCAAATATTTGTAGAAAATGATAGTAATTGGAGTATTTGGCTATTGAACTCTGCTTGTGAAAGCTTCTTTGGGCCAGAAACAGATGCTTATTTTCTAAACCTTTTAGATACATCCAGGTCTTCTTGGTTTAGAATGCCATGTTGATTCTTTGATTCTTTGTTCTAGTTCATTGCGTATAGGCCTGACCAGCTACAGTGCATAGGAATGATTGGCTTTATCAGTATGAGCATGCAGTCAGTCTCTTAGAAAGTAGAGCTTGTATACACATAGTTGTAAAACCATAAAATTTATCAGTGGCTGTGATTGTTCTATGTTTGCTTTTGCCATTATGCGGTTTTTATTTAGGAAGCCATGTGTAACTAACCTTGTTGATACTTCTCATAGCCTTTTGGTTGCTTGTGGACATAAACATTAGACTCAAATTCTTTGCAAATGAAATGTTGCTGTGGTGTCTTTATTTAATAAATATTAATGCCGGAAAGCTCAAAAATAGTGCATTAGAATATGTTAACAAAATAACTGCCTGTGTTATGTTAATTTCTTTCTGAAGGTTTCAGGCATTTTTATTGAGTGTATAAATTGGATCAATGTTTAAAAAATGATAACAAATCCCAAAATATACCAGGTTTCTCGGTTTTACTTTACTAATTAGCATAGTGGAAATCATGAATGATGATCTGCTTACATACTTATCAGGCATCCATTTCCTTATAATGATCTAAAATGATATTTTCTTGGTAATTGGATGAGAAAGAAAGCTTTCTCTTTCATTCCTGCTCATTTCACAGAACTGTGAGTAAGACTGACATTCAAATTTCACACTAACCATTAAACCAGTGTTCTTTATCAACAACAAGCTGAATGAAAGAATGTAGTTACTAACAAATAAAGAGATGAAAATTCATCGCTTCAAATACTCATAATATGCATATGGAGAGAATTGAGAACACAATATAAAAAAAATCTTATTTGGATCATTTTTGTGTATTGTATTTAAATGAATAATAAGCATAGTTCCCTTGAAGACACACCTGGATACACACAAAATGAAAAATATGTAAGGTGAAATCAGGAAAAAACCTCCAAAAGTTCTTTTTTTTTGAAGGTTTGGTGACTTTAATGATCTTTTTAGTTGGATCTTGAAGGAAGGAGGGCAGAGGCAGCGGGATGATGCAGTAGATAGCCAGACGCCAGTGTGTTCATTTGCAGTGCATCTGTTCATTTATGAAAATGAACTCTGCAGCACTCTTAACCACAAAGTTATACCAATCCTCATTAGGGAACAAATGCATTATTTCTTATTGCAAATGTTTTTGATTTTTTGTTATTTTGTTTATTTTTAACTCAGGTTTTGTGACAAAAATGAGGTCTGGTTATTTTTTTTATTGCATTGACTGTCATATGTTTTCATTAGTCATTAGTTTTAAAAGTAAAATCTCTTAGGAAGCATTATAGATCTAATCATGATTGTCTCAGGAGTTTTCAGCCTTCGTTCTGTTATATGGACTAAAGAGTCATAAAAATAGTCTCTGCTGTCCAGCTGCCAAATGAAATATTGCATAATGGAGTATAAAGCTATGCTGTAACCTTTACTTTAGACAGATGTAATTTTATCACCTGTGCTGAACTCACCTAGCTGCCACTGCATAAATTTGCATCAGGCAACATTTTACCATAAGGTAAGGGGACAGGGAAGAAAATTAGGCTGGTTACGTTTTAAAATGTGGCTTGATGAGTTCATGAATTTAAAGCTTTGACTAACTGATCTTTATAGTGGTTGGCAGACCAGACTGAATAATTCAGAAGATTTCATGGGGATTTACTGGTTTATACCAATGTTTAAAACCCTTCATTAACTGGAATTACCTTACATTTTTCTGTTATGAGTAGAAAAGTCACTGTCTTCACTTTTTCTCCATATCATTGCTACCTGTAGGCAAAATTTGGAAGCTTGTTTCAACAGTGTTTTGTTTACTCTTGCAGTGAGATTTAGGAGAATTAAAGCTGTTTGGTAATTGAAAATATTGTAATCAGGATCATATGTGTGACAATATTGTTGTCACACATATACATTGAGTTTTAAATTCCATTAATTACACGGTAATAAGTAAAAAAGGCTAACACAAAGATTTGAAGCAGGAGCAGCTGGACAAATTTGACTTGTTGCTCTCAGAAGTAAATACTAACTATCTTTTCTTTGAAAATGTAGATGATGATCACGTTGTGCTTTGTACTTGGAAACAATAGTGCCTTATCTTAGTGTTCAGAGGTTGGGTCATTTTCATCCTGCAACTCAAACATGCTGAACTTGCACAGCTTTTGCTCAAGCTACACTTTATTTCACCACCTGGTCTTTATGAAACGATTTTTTGCCTTTTCTTTTCCATTGCAGTTTTTCCACTTCTCCTCTAAAGCTGAACCTCCAAAGAGTGGTCAGTTTGCTGGTCGCATCAAATGGCTGGGAACCCCGGCAAATGGGGACGTCTCCATCTCCCTGATCAATGCCACTCTGAATGACAATGGGACATACACATGTGACGTCACAAATCCCCCAGATGTCTTTGGCTCCCCAAAGTCACAAACTGTTCTGACAGTCACTCCAAAGGGTAAGTTGGAACAGATCATGATGGTGGGCAGCCCTCTTGCAGTGAGATTTAGGAGAATTAAAGCTGTTTGGTAAATATTTCTGCCAAATATTTCTTGATTCAGCAGATCGAGACAAACATTCAGGCTTTGTTTGCTGCCCTATAATGTAAGCAATCTGGCTCAAAATGTTCTGGCTTTGAGGTAAGGTTGAGGATATCTACTTGGAGAAGATCACACTCCTCTGCCATTGCAGCACTGCCATGTGCGCTCACACTGCCATGTGAGCAGTGCTGCAACCTGCAGTTGCAGCACTGCCAAAGCTCCCGAGAAAACTTTGCAAATTTTAGTTGTTTATGTCTGAAAGCAGTTTCCAGGCAACCAGGAAGTTTGTGGTCCCAGACACAGGTCTTTTTTGTCTGGGACCACAAACTTCCTGTGAATGAAGTTATGATTGGTATATACAGTCATAACTGTTTATACTAAAACGGTGAAGTGAAACTGTCTTGAATATGTCTCTGAAATGTTTGTTTTTCTCTGACGAGAGAATTGTAATGATTTTGTATCATCTCCTGTGAATAGAGATGGTCAGCTATTCACAGGAGAGGAAAATCTCCTGTGAATAAGATGATGATCATCTTGGTAATTTGTATCTAATGACCCCAATATTCTTGCTGTCCTCAGCTGCGACCATCCGCTTCTCAGATGTTGCTGTGCTTCTCGCCTTTATCGTCATCCCCTCTGGCCTCATTACCTTCTTCCTGATTGGACGGATGTTGTGTCCCAAGAAACAGTACAACCAATCAAAGGCCTACAGATCACCGATAGAGGTCACAGAGGGGTGAGTAAATTTGTTCTACCAATCACTGATGTTGCTCTCTTGGGGATAATGACAGTCAAGTCAGCCTTCAGCGATGATCTGGATTGCTAATGCTGCGAAGGTTAAGCAAGAACTGAGGTCCAAGTTAAAGACACCTGGCTTAAGAAAGGTCAGGTGTCTTTGAGGAACGTGCTTTGAATTAACACTGTCTTCCCATGATTGATCTCTAACGTGGCTTCAGATGGCAGTCTGTGGCTTCAGAATCTGAGTAGAGCTGCTGTTCTCTCTTCTTTTTAAGCCTTTTGGGATTCTGGATAAACTGGTTACCTTAGCATAACAATAAAAGTCAGATAAATGGATTGATAGATACTTTATTATTTTTTAGGTGCACTTACCACTGAAAAAAAATCATAAAACAAACACACCATAATATCTTTATTGCTCTATTGGGCCAGAATGGGACGCTCCATATGCCTTGATGAAAATATATCAATATATGAAAAATATCACAACATATACAAGATTAAAAAAAAGCAGAGAACACAACGTGATCACTTTACTGAGAAGCAGGATCAATCCCTGCTGAGGCTAAAATAAAATAAAATTGATTTTAAGGAATAAAAATTTGATTTATAAAACACACCTATTTACCAGAAAGCCAAGATTAAACTTGATGTACCGCAGAGACAGGTTGGGGAGCATCAAGGAAATTTTGACCTCAATACCCCTTCACAAAGCGTGTTATGGAATGGAGATATAGCATAGTTATACTTGATGAATGTATTTGAAATGTAAGGGGTTTGAGGGAGTTAAGTCAAGATTATGCCAAAGTATATTTTCTCCAACTTTTTTTTATTTCACTATTTTGCATTCCTAGTTTATTTACAAGTTCCTTAATCAAGGGCAATTTCCAATTGAAAAATTATTGGTCTATTCCAACTAGTTCATCTTTGGGGTGCAGGGATATGAGCTAAAACTGCACATTTTAGTTACTATAAATTGAGATCACAGTGTTAAACATAAAAAATAAAGCAATTACTAAACACGCCTTAAGGAATACCTTAAAAGAATTAAAGAATTATTGCGTAGTGTGGTTTTCTGACAAAATCAACTCTTGTCCTTATATGTAAGTTTTTAAATCCCACTAATGAACACAACTTTCTTTCATATTTAGGCTTTTCTTATCTGCTTAACATCCATTTAGTTAGAGAACAAGGCAGCAGCCATCCATCATTTATTTGCCAATTTAATAACCTTTTAATAATGGATTGTTCTTTTTTCCTAATAGAATTTAATATTTCACTTTTCTTCACTTGAGAACTGATACTCAAAATTGCAGACTCAATGGACTGCACCGTGGCTTTAGGAGCAAGAATGTGGAAACCTTTATCAGAGTTTATCAGACATGCATGTTCATGATGTGAACAGCAAAGCATATGTACCACTTACGACTCCAGACCAGCGAGAAAGCACTGAGCAGCAGGGTTTTCAAACACAAAAGGTCTGCAGGGACTGACTCACATTTGGAGGCAGTCTCTCCAAGAATTACAGCTTCTGGCACTCTTGCATCGCTTTCTTTTATGTGATGATAACTCATGAAAATAGTCATTTTATAGATCTTTGAATAATTGTTTTGTTTGAAGTTTTCTCTGAGTGTTTTTTAATTCTACTTTTTTTTTGCCATGTTTAAAATATGGCAAAAATATGGTTGCTTGTATTGATATCAAAGTAATAGGAGGGAAAGAGACAGTCAGACACTTCCACGCTCAGCATAAATCAGCTTTAGATATATTTTATACACACAAAACACAGGTTAAGATGTGTGATATATTGCATGTTTTGACATCAGTTTGTGTGATTATTTTTATTTACAACCCTCTGTGTGTTCTCCTTCCATCAGAGAGGAAAATGGTGGCTACCCACAGGCAGCCTACGTACAGAGCACCACTTGCTGTAACATGTGTCTAATGGTACGTCTAACGGTGTTGCACTTGAAAACAATAACTTTCAGCTCATAAATAACTTGAATGGATATGCCCACTTCATCAGCTAAATATTGCATGTTGCATAATCTCATTACATAACAGCAGAACATTAAGGTTGCATGACATACTGATAATTTTCTTGTACAAAGTATTTAATCTATTGCTGCTCTGGTCTCTTCAAGGACTCTGACGATGAGGATGAATACTACAGTATGCAGAAGATGCATCCCAGAGAAGAGGAGTATGTTGAATCTCAGTGCTAACATCCACGGTGATAGCTGTTTAAAAACTTCAGCCACTGGACAGAAAACAAAACTGGCCTTCTTGATTGGCATTTGGTCATAAAGTTTACTTAATTCTTTTTTTTTTTTTCATTTTTAGAAATTGCTCCACCCCAATATTTACCACAAATATTAGATTTTCTTTTGACAGCTGAGGTCTGACAGAATAATAAAAATCCTTCATTCATTTGTGGATTATGGTGTCGATACCTTATTTTTTCTGCAGAAGAGTTACTAAATCTCACACCCTTAAATCAGGTGGAACCTGACAAAACAAGCCAGCCGAACACTGTATATATATATATATATATATTTTTTATCTTTCTGATTTAACTATTGTATGTCATTTTGTTATTGTGAAACATATGAATGTGTTTATTTTGTTTTATTTTTTTTTCTAATTTATTGCCTGAGAGAGCGGCTGTATTCATTCTGTCTTTGAGTAGCTGTGGGACCATTTTTGGTGTTTGCTTGAGATTAGGACAGAATAAACATTTTGATTTAAAACTTCTACTGATCTCACTTTGTGTTTGTGACTACTTAACAGACTTACAAAGCTTTCACTGTTTCAGTTTAGCACCAACCTTGTGTCAGTGTACTTGTTATTGTGTTTTTTTGAGGGCCGTTGTGTGGAAGTTTAGCTCTGGATGCATCTTTTTTACCTCAATAAATTATTAATGAGGATTTTTTTTGGGGGGTGAGAGAATGAGCATTGATTTTAAAAATAGACTCCCTTTGGAACAACACAATTTGCAGTGCTTCATCAGTAAACACAATTTGTTGAAGTTGAGACTCCACTGATGTACTTTCTGTGAATTAGCTGCTTTCTAATGTTGCTGAGTAGTTTTGCAAATCTTGGAGGTTGGATTTGACTCTTGCACCATAAGGTTGCAGGCTTTGACTCTTGTGAAGAGACCCAGGGAGAATACAAAAATTAAATCCACAAGAAAACTCAGTCCTAATTCTTTCTGACTTCTTTGTATCTCAGTCAGTTCACTCATGCCCTCTAGGTTTTAATAATTCACACACAGCTATGGTGAAACAATTATTATTCCTGCTTCATCTGAACTACCATGGCAACAGCTTACTAGTGTTGGTCAGAAAAAGAAAATCAAGAAAATTGATTGAATGAAGAAGCCTCGGTTTTCTGCATGGACTTGATTTTCCGAGGAGAATGTGTTTTGGAGGTTAAAGGATTAGGACTCCAGACTTACAAAGCTGTATGATAACACCATCAATGTCAATGTCTTCTTTCAGTGGATACACACAGTAGATACACACTTGGAGAAGACTGAAGAAAAACTCAGTTTTCTCACTTTTCAAAACCTTTGTGTCAGCTGTCTTTATTAAGTATGCATAGATGATGCAGTTCTTTATGAGCTGAAGTGCTTCTGATGTAAAATTATTTATCCAATTTCCATTGTTCAGTTCTTTGCATATTGTTGGTAGCTTGAATCACAGACAGTGTTTGAACAACTCATATAAGACCAACAAAACCCGTGATCATTCACAAGATCTTACACACAACAATAATGGCAAACCGTCTCCAACCTCACCACAGGAAATTCAGCTTTAGACGTACCAGATCCTGGTTACCAAAGGTGAAACGCCCTCCAAAAGTTATTTCTGTAATTTTTTCAATTTGAAATCCTAATGCTGCAATTAAATTTTAATTTACTTCAGGAGATTTACAAAAGTTGCATTCGAACATGTTTCACTGATAGCAAAATCACAAATTAGTTAGCACAAAATATAATTAGTTAAAATTTAAAACTTGCTGATACTAAGACGATCCTAATGTTTTCTCAGTTGTCTGGACCGAGGCGTCCGAATAGCAGACAGAAATACATTCACACTCCTTACCCATCTTATCTGTTTTATTTGGAGGAGTTTGTGTTGCTGCTTCACATTTTGTTTATTGTTACAACTCTGCAAATGTTTCTGTATGTCTGTATCGCTGAGTTGGTTTGCATCACCCAGATGGAATCATCTATTTAAAGTCCATGTGGGATGTGTCATATACTACCAAATAGCAACGTGCTAACTATAAATAAGCTGATTAGACTACTTTAATAACTCTAGAAAGCCGAATATTTCACAGTTCACGGCCATCTGCACTGTTTGAGTTCTGACATTTGCGTTAGCATTCTATAGGAAATTAATTTATCACAATAGTTATGGTCAATTAGGTGAAATTGGCCCTGGCCTTAATATTTTTATAGAGTTTGCAGTAGGCATATTACTTGTTGCCGTTCAGACACGGAGAACTTTTCATTCTGCAGACAAGGAGCGTCAACACAGCGAGGGAAGTGGTACATTGTTAATGGACAAAGCAACAAACAGAATGCACTCACAAGTGCACAGGGCTGACACACTGGATAAGCAGTTTTCTTATATGTACAGTCAATTTATACATTCAGTAGATTTAAGTGTTGAGAAAATTCAAAGATGCCTGGCAATTTTTAGCAATTGTGTGTAGTATAAGAACTAAACAAGGGTTAAAATATTCTCACCCACAGCCTTAGAAGATCCTCCAAGTATGCAATAACATCAAAATGCTTTAAAATACCTCAAATGTGAACATTTCTATTGGAACCATGTAAATAGTTAAAATCATTGCAAAAATAAGCTTAAGTTTTAAAGGATTACACATTCATTTAAGACTCTTCAAACCCTCTTTATTGGCCGTCAGCTGGGCACACACTGAATGTTAAATTTCTCTTTCACTGGAATTGGAGATGCCCTGAGGTGAAAATGAAAGGGGAAGGAAATTTAGTTTAACAAAACAGTACAGCCAGCTATACTGTAATTCTGTAACATTTGTGGAAAAATTACTTGGTTCTTTTTTTTTACTGAAATATGCAACTTTGACTCAACAGTTACTTACAATTTTTGCCTACTCTGCCAACCTCTGAGTACAACTGATCATATTTGTTTTGTGACTGGAGGTGCAGTCTGCCAGGTGTGAAGCCTTGCCGAAGCGCACGCCACGGCAGCGCTGGCCGATCAGTGTGACATTATTGATTTCTGTGGTCAGTAAAGGCTGCAGATTCAACTGCTTAACAAAACAATCAAAGAACTGGACATACATTAGCGTACCAAGTTGTTCAGGAAGCAGGAACAGCTATAATGTCTGCTGAGTTAGTTTCCACTCAACTCAATCTGTTGCAATGGCAGATGGACTGTTTTCAAAGGCCAACCCACACACTCTTGCCCGGTTTCCACAGATTCTGCAGCCCTGGCCTCAGCCTGATTTCTGACTCCTGGAATTGAAATGTTTTGATTATTTTTATTGGGCTTTTTTTCTTAACAGCCCTCTTCATTTAAAATGGGAGCTGATTATTATTTGTTCTCTCTAAGGACTTGCATCAGCTCTTCCAGAATGGGGACTTGATTTTAAGTGATTTGCTTCTTAATGTTGTACTGCTGATGCTGTAAATATTTTATCAACAGTGAAATGCACTAATGATGACTGACATAGATGCAAATCTTTGGTAAAGATAGATGAATACAACATAAAATAATGCATAAGTGTAAAGTGGAATGAAATTATTCTAGTAATTCAAAAGAAAAAAAATAACTTTATAATCTTGGAAAAACAAATCTTGTCCCACCATTAGACTAGAAGTTGGTTAGTGAATTGAGTCTGTTTAATCTCAGTGGTCTGTGAAGGCCTTAGAGCTTGTTTACTGAACATTAGTGAACTAATGATGAAGAAACAGCAGGCAAGTTTTGGATAAGGTTGTTGAGTTGTGGTATCCTTCAAAACAAGACATATACATGTTCTAGCAGGTACAAAACCATATACAACCACAGCAATGGTTTAGATCAATATTTCTGAATCCAGTTGTTCGGAACCACTGCACTGCATGTTTTAGGTGTTTCACTTATAGTAGGATTCTGTAGAAATTGCTGGCATAAAGAGGAAGTTATGCAATAATTTTATTTGGGTTTTCTACAACAGGTACACATCTAAAACTTGCAGGACAATGGTGCCTGGTGACTCAAACTGAGAAACATTGGTTTATATCAAAGTATGAATGACCCTGCAAAGTTCAGAACTATTGAATTAAAAATCTGTTACAAGACATTGTAACTGCTGTTCAGAAATGCTGCCTGGCTCCAGTCTGAATTTGAATTAGAATTATTTACATTACAAACTGTGGCTCAGGGCATTGAGATTGTGTGTGCAACCTTCCAAAACCAAAGTTTGCTCAGTTTCTGGTCTATTTTGTGAGGTATAATTGTTTTATATGTGGGCTGAAATCAATGTGTGAAATTTGGCTAGTATAAATGGTGATGTGTTTTAAAATTGTGATGACTCCATCTTCTGTCAGTTTGAGTGGTAATTGTAGAGCAAATGAGAGAAAATATAAAGGATGACAAAACCTGGTGATAGTCACCACAGGACTGTCTTTTTTTGATAATGGTGTTATTGCAGCTGATGTCATTCTGAATTGACAATTGTTTCTTTTCCATTACTTTCTAAATTAATAAATAAACAAGCATTCTTGTTTATTTAGCTTTATTAAAATACCTATTTCTTGTGTTTCTTCTGTGAACTTTGTTGCTCTCCTTTTTCATGTTGTCTCAATAAATCCAGGCAGAATACAGAATATCACCCATTTTCGTTTGCCATATCTAACATTTATTGCAGTGCATCAGCTTTGAATGTGGGACCCTGAACTGGCAGCTGTTCAGCATGAATGTGCATAACTATGCAGAGGTAAAAACGAGATCAGGCACACTCAGCAGAACCCTGCATTATTACACAGCTTGTGTCACTGTGCCTGCTACAGACCATGATTACACCGAGTGATGATGTAGTGCTGCCAAGTAATGGTGCTAGGCTTTGAATGTGTGACAGCAGTGACCACTGGGCAGTTGATGAGTTTTTTTCAGTAAACTGGAAATGCCTCCAGGTCTTTCTCCTCTCCTTTTTTTTCTCACGCCATCCACTCCTCTTCCCTTTCATCCACCTGTTTTCCCATCCTCATTGTGTCTGTGTATCTTTGGCTGAAGCCTGCTGGTGTCGGAGCGGGGGTGGGGACAGTTTTGACACTACTGTGTGTCTCTGTGTGTGTGTGTTATAAAATACAAATACAGAGTGTGGGTGTTTGTATGAGCATGCGCCTGTAAGTCTCACTCTATGCTAATGGTTCTAATAGGGGGAAGTGCTTTCCCAGTCCCTGTTCATTAAACCAGACTATGTGCAAAGCCGGACACAAGAGGAGGAAAAAAAAGCGAGAGAAAAGCAGTCCGCCTGTCTGCCACACCCGGCCTTATTGCTTCCTCCTCCTGCCATCATTCCTCTCTTTTCTTCCTTCTCTCCTTCTCCTCTGCTCTTCTAGTGTGGTGTTTCCATGAGAACAGCGAGCGCTGGGTATCGAGGGGGGGTTGAAGAGAGAGTGAGGGTGGGTGGGTGGTTTTGGTGATGTGGGTGACGTGTCCTAAAAGCACTGAGAGTGAATGCGTGTATGTATATGTGTGTGTGTGTCTGCATGCATCAGC